ACAGACTGAAATGATTTTCAAAACAGCTTGTCCATTTTTGTTTTGTTTTTGTTGATTAATAATAACACCTGTAGTTCTAGTCTAGAAATATTTTATTAAAATGTCTCAGATCTACTTCTTAGTCATACCTATATCCAATTTCAATTAGTAATTGTTTAAAAATTATAATTACTTATGTTATTACCTAGTTTATCAATCATAGTTCCATCTAATACTTGCTCTGTTATTACTACACAATTAAGATTTTAATAAAGATCTTATACGTGCAAAAACATTTTTCTTTAAGATTAATTTATAAATCGAAACAATATAGTTAGAAGAACCTTCATTTTATGCTTGAAAGTAAGTGACAGTATAAATATTGGATGTGTATATGTATATGCAACTTATTGAATAAATTATTCATCTAATAGGAATTAATTTTTTCCACCTTTTAAGAAAATTATATAATAGCAATGATAGTTCTGATCTTTTCTTAAATTGAATAAATAGGTAGAACCAGAACCAGTATTTTTGTATCATTTCACTGTTGTTTTAACGTTTTAATTAACAGTGTGTTTTCTAAAGTGGCACTGAATGGGAAGATTTAGAGATTGAATAGCTCTATAAAAAAAGATGACAATGCTCTACCCCAGACACTCTCGTTAATTGATGAATTTTGATCTAGAAACATGGACCCTTAAAGGGCTTAGTTACCGAGATAGGGGGTGTTATAAGTTTGCAAACAAAATTCAAACTTTGCCATATTTAAATCAAAAACGCCATTAAATATTTATTTTTCAAATGTTGTGACCAATGTGCTCTTTAAGAAAATAATATTTTGACATAAACTAACTTTTGAAAAATTTACCTGTGGCAATTTTTTTCCCTATTTTTTACAACTGGTGTGAAGTTAGCAGCCACTTTCCAGCAGTCCCTTTACCGGAAACACCCGAATTACCAATGGCGTCGAAATGTATTTTTCTGTGAATGGTATATTGAAATAAAATTAATACTAAATTTTTAAGAAACAAATAAAAAGTGTTTAGAGAGAGGATTAAGGGGTAAACTGAAATAAAAATCCAATAAAAATTCATTAAAAAATCAATTTTTCTATAAAGATAACAGAATATTGAAATAAAAATAGTGTCAAATTGTTAAAAACTATAATATGCAACCTAAAAAAAATAACAAAATCACTTAGGAAGGGAATGAGGGGGTCAAATTAAATAAAACTCCATTAAAAATCTATTTAAAAATTAATTTTCCTAAGGACACAATCTAGTATTGAAATAAAGTTAGTGCCAAATTGTTAGAAACTATAATATACAACCTAAAAAAATTCACAAAATCACTTAGGAAGGGGATGAGGGGGTTAAATTAAATAAAATTCCATTAAAAATCTATTTAAAAATTAATTTGCCTAAGAAGACAAACTAGTATTGAAATAAAGTTAGTGCAAAATTGTTAGAAACTATAATATACAAACTAAAAAAATTAACAAAATCACTTAGGAAGGGGACGAGGGGGTCAAATTAAATAAAATTCCATTAAAAATCTATTTAAAAATTAATTTGCCTAAGAAGACAATCTGGTGTTGAAATAAAGTTAGTGCCAACTTGTTAGAAAGTATAATATACAAACGTAAAAAATTAACAAAATCACTTAGGAAGGGGATGAAAGAGTCAAATTAAATAAAATTCCATTAAAAATCTATTTAAAAATTAATTTGCCCAAGTAGACAATCTAGTATTGAAATAAAGTTAAAGCCAAATTGTTAAAAACTATAATGGAATTTTATTTAATTTGACCCTTTCATCCCCCTCCTAAGTGATTTTGTTAATTTTTTTAGGTTGTATATTATAGTTTCTAACAAGTTGGCACTAACTTTATTTCAATACTAGATTGTCTTCTTAGGCAAATTAATTTTTAAATAGATTTTTAATGGAATTTTATTTAATTTGACCCCCTCATCCCCTTTCCTAAGTGATTTTGTTATTTTTTTTAGTTTGTATATTATAGTTTCTAACAGTTGGACACTAACTTTATATCAATACTAGATTGTCTTCTTATGCAAATTAATTTTTAAATAGATTTTTAATAGAATGTTATTTAATTTGACCCCCTCATCCCCTTTCCTAAGTGATTTTTTTAATTTTTTTAGGTTGTATTTTGTAGTTTTTAACAATTTGGCACTAACTTTATTTCCATACTGGATTGTCTTCTTAGGCAAATTAATTTTTAAATAGATTTTTAATGGAATTTTATTTAATTTGACCCCCTCATCCCTTTCCTAAGTGACTTAGTAAATTTTTTTAGGTTGTATTTTATAGTTTTTAACAATTTGCCACTAACTTTATTTCAATACTGGATTGTCTTCTTAGGCAAATTAATTTTTAAATATATTTGTAATGGAATTTTATTTAATTTGATCCCCTCATCCCCTTCCTAAGTGATTTTGTAAATTTTTTTAGTTTGCATATTATAGTTTCTAACAATTTGGCACTAACTTTATTTCAATACTAGATTGTCTTCTTAGGCAAATTAATTTTTAATACATTTTTAATAGAATTTTATTTAATTTGACCCCTCATCCCCTTCCTAAGTGATTTTGTTAATTTTTTTAGGTTGTATTTTATAGTTTTTAACAATTTGGCACTAACTTTATTTCAATACTGGATTGTCTTCTAGGCAAATTAATTTTTAAATAGATTTTTAATTGAATTTTATTTAATTTGACCCTTTCATCCCCTTCCTAAGTGATTTTTTTTATTTTTTTAGGTTGTATTTTATAGTTTTTAACAATTTGGCACTAACTTTATTTCCATACTGGATTGTCTTTTTAGGCAAATTAATTTTTAAATAGATTTTTAATGGAATTTTATTTAATTTGACCCCCTCATCCCTTTCCTAAGTGATTTAGTAAATTTTTTTAGGTTGTATTTTATAGTTTTTAACAATTTGCCACTAACTTTATTTCAATACTGGATTGTCTTCTTAGGCAAATTAATTTTTAAATACATTTTTAATGGAATTTTATTTAATTTGACCCTTTCATTCCCTTTCTAAGTGATTTTGTTAATTATTTTAGGTTGTATATTATAGTTTCTAACAATTTGGCTTTAACTTTATTTTAATACTAGATTGTCTTCTTAGCAAATTAATTTTTAAATACATTTTTAATGGAATTTATTTAATTTGACCCTTTCATCCCCTTCCTATGTGATTTTGTTAATTTTTTTAGTTTGTATATTATAGTTTCTAACAATTTGGCTTTAACTTTATTTTAATACTAGATTGTCTTCTTAGCAAATTAATTTTTAAATACATTTTTAATGGAATTTTATTTAATTTGACCCCCTCATCCCCTTCCTAAGTGATTTTGTTATTTTTTTTAGTTTGTATATTATAGTTTCTAACAATTTGGCTTTAACTTTATTTTAATACTAGATTGTCTTCTTAGCAAATTAATTTTTAAATATATTTGTAATGGAATTTTATTTAATTTGATCCCCTCATCCCCTTCCTAAGTGATTTTGTAAATTTTTTTAGTTTGCATATTATAGTTTCTAACAATTTGGCACTAACTTTATTTCAATACTAGATTGTCTTCTTAGGCAAATTAATTTTTAATACATTTTTAATAGAATTTTATTTAATTTGACCCTTTCATTCCCTTCCTAAGTGATTTTGTTAATTATTTTAGGTTGTATATTATAGTTTCTAACAATTTGGCACTAACTTTATTTCAATACTGGATTGTCTTCTTAGCAAATTAATTTTTAAATACATTTTTAATGGAATTTTATTTAATTTGACCCCTCATCCCCTTTCTAAGTGATTTTGTTAATTTTTTTAGGTTGTATTTTATAGTTTTTAACAATTTGGCACTAACTTTATTTCAATACTGGATTGTCTTCTTAGGCAAATTAATTTTTAAATAGATTTTTAATGGCATTTTATTTAATTTGACCCCCTCATTCCTTTCCTAAGTGAGTTAGTTAATTTTTTTAAGTTGTATTTTACAGTTTTTAACATTTGCCACTAACTTTATTTCAATACTAGATTGTCTTCTCAAATTAATTTTTAAATATATTTGTAATGGAATTTTATTTAATTTGACCCCCTCGTCCCCTTACTAAGTGATTTTGTTATATTTTTTTAGGTTGTATTTTATTGTTTTTAACAATTTGACACTATTTATCTCTCTCTCTCTCTCTCTCTCTCTCTCTCTCTCTCTCTCTCTCTCTCTCTCTCTCTCTCTCTCTCTCTCTCTCTCTCTCTCTCTCTCTCTCTCTCAACACTTTATGTTTCTTAAAAATTTAGTAGTAATTTAATACACTGTTTACTTAACAGAAAAATACATTTCGACGCCACTGGTAATTCGTGTGTTTCTGGTAAACGGGCTGCTGGAAAGTGGCTGCTAACTTTACACCGGTTTTTTTACACCTGTGGGACAATTTTTTTTATTATTTTTTGATTTTTGATCTGAAACTTCATGTTCTTATATCAAAATTCATCCATTAATGAGAGTTCTCAGTTGTAGAGGTTTATTGGTCGAATATACTAACACTCTGTATATATTTGTATAACTAGGAATGAATGATAAGACAATACTTAATTGTATTACCTTTTTCTAAAAAAAATAATTTAATGATTAGGATAGAAGTTTTAATATCGGAGCTCACTGTACTATCCCAAAACATTTTTTTAGAAATACTGATTTTTTATAATATCTTTGTCACCATATAACTCTGAAAGATCGTATTTTTGGACGCCTGTTTTAGTAAGATTTTTTACTTATTATATATTATATCCATCAAAATAGGTAGATGTAGAATACTTACCTATTTTTAGTTGATTTAAAAAGGTTGTCTGTTGTCCATTTTCACTGCAGTATTTAGTATTTGGCCCTCTTTTCTTGATACACATATAAATTACATGCCAAATTTAATAATGATTTCATTGAATTTCAGCAATTTTTTTATCAAAACTAAATATTTTTTTTTATTTTTTTCCAGGTTTATGCATCATTCATTAACAATGAGTGGTAAACCCATAACAAAACTCAAAACACTCCACTGACTGAAACTTAATGACTACAAAATACAATGTGCAAGTGTCACATACACCAATCATGATGCACAGCACAGAAAACAATCGTTTCATAGTGCAGGTGTATGTAGGGGCCTTGTCAGCTCTCTATGAAGCCCTGTCAGTAGAAGCAAGCAAACAGACAACTTCAGAAGAAATTGTGTCTTGCATAGTAGAAAGGCTCAGTTTAAATGACAATGCATCTTATGAACTTGCAGAAGTTATTGGAGATGATTTTGGGCAAGAATGTAAAGAGAGGAGCCTAAGTGCTCATGAAAGTCCTGTGCAATTGATGATGCTATGGCCAAAACACAGGCCAGATCATTCATCTTATCGATTTTATCTTAGAGAAAAGGTTAATGATTATGTATGGAGAGACCAATTTGTAATGGACCCTCAGTTGATCAAAGACTATTTCCACAGATTCTTATACCAACCTAAAGATAGAGAATACCCTGATTTGTGCCAACTACCAGATCTAAACGAACAAACCTTATTGGATAACTTAAGAGCAAGATTTGTAGCTGGGCATATTTATACATACGTAGGATCTATTCTAATAGCTTTGAATCCTTTCAAATTCTACCCCATATACAATCCAAAATACGTAAAACTCTATCAGAATCGACGATTGGGGCCCAACTTACCTCCTCATATTTTTGCCGTTGCCGATGTGGCGTATCATTGTATGCTTAAAGACAGAAAAAATCAGTGTATAGTAATTAGTGGTGAGAGTGGTTCGGGAAAGACTGAAAGTACAAACTTTTTGTTGCATCACTTGACTGCATTGAGTCAGAAAGGATCGCATGGAAGTGGTGTGGAACAAACGATACTTAGTGCTGGGCCCGTTTTGGAGGCATTTGGGAATGCTAAGACTGCTCATAATAATAATTCAAGGTAAGTTTCACAATGCTGACAAAGTTACATTTTTTATCAGTTTAAAGCTTTTTATGTTACTATTTTAAATAGGTATTTACATGGTAAGTCTGATAAATATTTCTTAAAATTAGCTCTACATATGATGCTGGGTAAAGAAAAATATAAGTACCTGCTTGCTTACTTTTATTAAATGTTCATTAAGTAATTGTATCACAGCTTCAAAAACACAACGGATTAAATAAAATCTAAATTACTACAACATTAAAGAAAAAATTGGTTAATATTTTTACCAAGAACTTCTGTCGATATAGAAATTGTAAAACTCCAATTAAATATTCCATAGGGCTCAACTTTCGTTTAGCAGAAATCTGTTATGCAAAAACTATTGTCATAATAACAATTGTAATGGCTATGAGTAAACAAAAACCCAATTCTTATAGTGAGGAAATGCGTAGTTGCCAAGTTCTAGATGATTTCGGTTTTTGTTTAATTTCATTTAGCTGAAATCAGTTATGCAAAAAATGTTGCCATGGGCACGCTTGTCATGTTACCGACTAAACAAAAACCCAAATCTCGTGAAGGGGAAATGCGTAGTTGCCAAGTTATAGATCATTTAATGTTTACTTTAGTTTAGCCAAAATCAGTTACGGAAAAACTGTTTTCATGGAAACGCTTGTCATACTAAGCACTAAACAAAAATCCAAATCCGGCAGTGAGGAAATGCGTAGTTGCCAAGTTATAGATTATTTAATGTTCACTTTAGTTTAGCCGAAATCAGTTATGAAGAAATTGTTGCCATGGAAACGCTTATTATGCTAATGACTAAACAAAAACACAAATATCGTGGTGAGGAAATGCGTAGTTGCCAAGTTGTGGTTAGTAGGTGGGTGGAACGAGCGTAGCGTGATCTTATGATGTAGATGGAAAAAGAGCGCGCCCGGCCGACGTTTCGAAATTCGGGCCCGCGTATTTCGAAACGTCGGCGGGGCGCGCTCGCTTCGCTCGCTTTCCTTTGTAGTAGTTAGTAGTTAGGTTGTGGGTGGGAGGAGCGTAGCGTGATCTTATAGAGAAACTGTTGCCATGGAAACGCTTGTCATGCTAATGACTAAACAAATCCCGTAGTGAAAAAATGCCTAGTTGCCAAGTTATAGATGGTTTCATTTTCACTTTAGTTTAAATTAGGATATTGTGTTAAGAGTTAATCTAAATATAAGAGGCAACTACGCATTTCCTCACCACTGGATTTAGGTTTTTGTTTAGTTGACATCACGACATCTCCATAACTGATTTCAGCTAAACTAAAGTGAATATTAAATGACCTATAACTTGCCAACTATGCATTTTCTTACTATAGGATTTGGGTTTTTGTTAAGTCGTTACTATGACAAGTGTATCTATGGCAACAGTTGCTCAGTAACTGATTACAGCTAAATTAAATCATCTGTAACTTGGCAACCACGCATTTCCTCACCATGGGATTTGGCTTTTTGTTTAGTCGTTACTATGTCAAGCGTTCTTATGGCAACAGTTTTACCATAACTGATTTCGTCTAAACTAAAGTGAACATTAAATAATCTATAACGTGGCAACTATGCATTTCCTCACCACGAGATTTGGGTTTTTGTTTACTGGTTACCATGGCAACAATTTTTACGTAACTGATTTCGGCTAAACGAAATTTGACCCTTCCATAGTTATAAAACTGGTAAATAAATTAAATACGAAACATTTTAACAATTTAAAATTAAAACCACCAAACCAAAAACCCTTTTTCACTTTCCTTTGTCCATCGATCTTCCTCTTGATCCCAACTGAACTCTCACTTCACTTCTGCCCAGTGTTCTTCATCACGTTCACCGTTATTGAATGATAGTGATTGGCTGCTTTTAAAATAATCAATACTTCCCTAGTAAAAACTAATAAAAAATTAAGTTATTCTAAAAGTGATTTTGGCCTGTTTTAAGGTTCCCATGTTAAAAAAGTCAACTCCTTTTTAGTATTATCTATATTAGAAGTTTCTGACATTTATTTTTTAAAGGTCCTCATATTTTCTAAACTAATTTCATGATGATCGATAAAGTACTGCTGCATAATGGAAGTTTTAGTGGTTTCTAGGAAGGGAGAACATTTATTTTTATATATTCAAGGATAGGAAATTAATTTAAACTACGTATATGATTGTAATTGTTTTATTGTTTTTTTATTGTGAAGGGTTCTTGTTAATAATTAATTATATAATATTGATGATATCCTTTTTGCATAAAAAAATGTTGCATTATGTATTTTTTTTTTATCTTCTTATGCTTGAAAGTTCTTGCATTGTTATTTACTATTATTTACTTATTTGTGATCTTATCAAATACTGCGATAAAGCACTCATAAATATTTTCTATTTGATACAAATTTAAAATTAAGTTTTTGGAAACTATTTTTGTGATTAAAATCGGGTGGCACAAAATTGATCGAAAAACATTGGATCGAATTGAAAATTTTATCGAAAATACATTTTATCGAATGGCATTTGATCAAAAATACATTTGGTCGAATAACATTTGATCGAAGATATATTTTATCGAATAAAATTTTATCGAATAGACAATAGATCGATTTTTTTTTTTTTTTTCATATATGTTTTCGATATTTTTCATTATTTATATATTTCTTTTTCATTGGACAATTCCCCATTCCTTGTGTAGTTATTTAAATCCAAAAATTTGTACCGGAACAATTCCTACACGAAGTTCAAACTTGTCACTGAATATGCGATTTTTAAGTATAAAAAAAAAATCCGCATGAGCCTCGTATTCACTTCACGGGATCATTGCGCTTAAAAAAATGTTTAACATTTTAATTCATTCAATATGTTCAATAGCAATAACCCACAAAACAAAACCAACAAGTGTAAAGTGTGACCATATCAAATTGTACACGCTTAAACTGACTATTACTAATCCGAACTTTGTTGTGCCTATTTAAAAACCTCTCATTTTAATTGTCTGATCATTCTAATTATCGTTGTTATTTTAAATCGTTCATTTAAATAACAAAGACGTGCGTAACACATTATTTCGCCCATAGTATTTAGTACAAGCATTCTTTTCGCTAAGACAAATAGACAATAAAAGTGGGACAGTCAAAACGATTTACAGTAAATTGGTACCTTCTAGGTGTTGCTTATTAGCTTCGTTAATTTTAATTGTAAATACCTACTCTTGTGTTGACTGTCAAGAATGACTTTGATTGACTGTATTCAAGCTTTTGGCTAAGGGTGACCCCTTTCTAGAAATACAGGCGAGGAATTTTTATTAATATAGGCGTTGTTACGTGTAAAATTCTTAATTGTATATAATATGGGTCGGGTTACAGATAGGATTTGAAGAGTCCAAAGCAAAACCGATGAAGGTCATTAAAAGTGGATTCTCTGTACATTTAATTATAAGTTTCGAAATCATAAAACACTTAGAGCAGGAATATTAAGGAAAATGAATTAGTAGCCATTTTGTGCAACATTTATTAGATGAGAAAAACGCCATGTCTTTGTTCTTGTTTTTATACACGCAAATTTTTGCCGTCTTTGCTGGTGTTTTCCCGTAACAATTCATCGCACCATTTTTTGTTTCTCAAATAAAGCCGTGGCGATGAGCTTTATCACTATGTGAACTAGTTCAGTACTCAGCCACGGGGAGGGGGGTTGCTGGTCAGAATCCCCCATGGAGGCCTTCGCGTCACCGTTTTCGCTATCTTATTGGTGCTGATCGCTAGTAACTGTTTGTTACCCCCCTATAATACTCAGAAACCCCTCCCATGAAAAACTTCTGGCTACGCCATTGTCACCACTATAGACTCTCACTATTTTATCGTGTATTTTTAGAGAGATAAAAAAGTGACTTTCATCGTTTTGCTGTGTGCTCTTCATTTGTTTTTTAGAGTTAGGAAATACAAGGAATGGATAGAATATGAAATATATAAATTTATTATTATTGCATGAATTAAATGGATATATTTAATGGTTAATCATACGCACATGTGTGACTACTCCCAGTAGTGGGTTAGTCTAGGAGAAATCGATGCACGAGTTTTTTTTTTATTATTTTCTTTACTTTAATAAAAATTAAAAATGTCCTATAACATTTTTGGATAAAGTTAATTTTAGGAGATACTGAATTTTTAAAGTTCAAAAAATTATGATTTTGCTAATTTTAACGGCTTACCTTCATACAGGGTTAATCCTACGTTGATGCTTTTTTAACTATGTATAGACGTCATTAAAATAAACATCGTTTTCAGATAATTTTTTCAAAAACGTTAGAATTAGTTTTAATAATGTCAAAAATTCTTAACCAAATTGACTAAATTAAAACCTTTAAGCTTTTATACTCTTTAAATAGTAAAAATTATGTTTTTGAATTTTATGTGGAATTTTATTGAATATATAGGCTTGAGATAAAATAGTTTTAATGAATACATCAAAACTACATTAAAACTATTTGTTCCAAAATGAATTGTTTTAAAACCAACTTGCTTTTAATCCCTTAAAATAGCAAATTATCGGTTCTGAACCGCTTGTGTTATACCTAAAATAAATCAAATACTGCGGTAAAAATTTTGTTTTTCAGGCCCCGGAAAATGGCGAAAAACAAGAAAACAAAATGTTTTTTTAAGATTATTTAAAAATGGTAGGTGCTATAAAAAAAGTTCTTAATAAAAATTGTAAAGCATAAAGTTTTACATAAAAATAATATTTAGCATTTTTTACAATTATGAAAACTAACAGATTTAGGGTGTCTTTTTTTATTATTTACTTAAAAAAATATGAACTTTCTTTTCAGAAAAAATAATTTTTTTTATTTGTTTTTTTTTAAGTTATGACAATATAAATTACAAATTTTCAATACATTATACCACTTTATATGGTAAAATACATTTTGAAGTGAACTTATTATGGCTTGACTGACATGAAAAATATGAGTAACGAACTAATAAAAACGACATTACGACAGTTTAGTCCCCACTTGAAG